GTGGTGCAAGGAAAATTGCAGAAGGTTCCCCCCCCAAATCAGGCTCTCCTTTCTGTGGCTAGTTGTGCACTGGTTGTGAAATTGGGTGCACAACCAGCTGTTCAGAGGACGGCCTGGCGGGGAAGAGAAAGTAAGCGATTGCCCTCCTACGTGCACAGATTTTAGACCTGGCCAATAGGAATATGAGGTCACATCAAAGGTGGTGCTAACTTAGTGAAAAGTTTGGGAGAAAACTTCCAGATTCAAGGGTTCAACTTCCGAAGGCTGGCTGTTTGGGGGTTCCACCCCTACTCCAACTACAAGTCAGAATCCCATACCACACATTGATAGTGGGAAAGTTGACTGTAGGATTCTGGAATTGGTTTATTAAAAAAAAATATTTCGAATCTCTGTCTTTTCTATCCCAAACCCAGTTTGTGGAATTAGAATCTATGAAGTTGTGACGCAGGACCGTCCACATGCGTCATGACCTCTTGGGTCTATGTTACCTCTCTGTTTCAACCTACAGCTTCATAAGTCTTACATGACTGTTTGATGTGCAATGGACTGTTTTCCTATGGTTCATCCAATGCCATACTTTGCTGCTATTAGAAGTTCTGGTGGTAACAATGGAGACAGTAATGCGAGATGTGAGGTTGTCAAACAATAGCCTATGAGGCAAGGCAGGTTGGGATTGGGAGAGCCACACACCTTACTCTTGTTTGCTAGTGTCTTCACTGGTTACTTTGGCATGGAGCTGATCCAACTGCTTTGACAGTACGAGGCTGGACAGCGGCTCACCTTGCTGCTATCAAAGGCCAGGATGCATGCATGCAGGTAAGCATTCTTGTTTAATCTTGACCGAGGAAGGATTTAGAGATCAGGCTTTAAAGCCCTTATTTCATCTTTTAGCAACCGGAAGTTTTTGATTTTGGTTTTGGAGCAAGTAGAAACTCCAGAACTGCAGAAACTCTGGAAACCTTTGCATTTCTTCATATATTTGAAGGAAATAATTAAAACCTACCTTTTAAAAATAGCTGAAGGGTCTTTTCCAAGGAGTCTTCTCTTCTCATGAGATGGCCAAAGTATTGGAGCCTCAGCTTCAAGATCTGTC